TTTAACTGAGCAACTGTACTGTAGTTTAAGAAGAAAAAAAAACCACTCCCTTATTGCCAGTGAAATGTGCAGCAAAAAGCACCCAATCAGGATAGTATAGGCAATATAGGCTTCTTTCAGCCAGCTGCCCAGCAATGTGCATCAACAAGTTGGGTCGGGGCAGCACTGAACTACTAAATGCTCAGGACACACAAAGAAAGCTCCATCTCTCTCTTCACTATCTTGCATATCATTAAAAACACTTGAAACCGAGAAAATTGCACAGCCATTTTGACCTCATAAATCCTAAAAACGTGTTTATTCAGCCAACCCTGATCACGATGATGGAGAATATGTTTTGTTAGCAGTTTCTGTTAGAACATATGCAGCCCTATATGCAGAAAAACGTTCTGTTAGTGTATGCGCTGTAGTAGTGGTTAAAATGTGACTCACTTTGTTTTGATATGGTAAATACACACTTATTGTCATGTGTTTTAAATTTAGATTTTTTTTTTTCCATATGTACTGTCATACCTTCAGGTCAGCTGTGGATGTCAACCAATCAGGGCCCTGGTTGAGCCCATCCTTCTGATGCTTTCAACCAATTTAAAGTAAAACATTTGAACTGAAAGTAATAAAAGAAGGCAGTTCCTCAAAAGCATGCAAGCTAGAACCATTATTCTCAGGAAAAGGTTGAGCACACCTGCTAGGTCGTCAAAAACTGACAGAGACATTATTGTTTTGTTTTTTTTCTATTTGATGCATATATGCTCCTCTATTTAATGCACATATCCATGTGTTCCAGATAGAACCTGCTACTCCTTCTAGTGATGTTTAAGGAGAAAATCTTTACGCCACTGCTTGGACCATGACTTAACACCAGTGGAGACAGAAGGATAAACAGCACTGCTGAGAGCAGATTAGTAATGATTTTAGGTTTCAGAAATAATGAGTTACATTGTTATATTGTATTTTCAAGATTGGTTATAATAAATAAGAAGATGAGATCAGTCCTTCCTGTCCTGACCTTATGTTCAGCCCTCAACAGAAAATTGCCTAATTGTTAAATACTGTACATAGTAAATGCACTCATAGTGATGTAAAAGGACAGAAACACCAAATCAATACCAAGCTCAATTATAGTCTTACCTCCATTCTTGTGCGCAACAGCTGAGTTGAAGAGGCAGATCAATATTTTGGTGTAATTGATCATTCCAAGTCTTTGGGTCCTATTTAGAAGATGAAGGTCTAGTGTGAATATGTTGGACGTTAATGTTCCTAAATCCAGAGGTGTCAACAAAGTATTTGTACTTTGTTACTGTACACTTTTTAGGTATCTGTACTCCATTACGTATTTTTCCTCGTATTTCTGACTTCTACACATTGCATTTTCACACAAGTATCTGTACTTTCTAATCCTTAAATTTTTAAAACAAACGTTACTCGTTACTCTTGGCTTCGGTTTAATGTTTATAAATATTAATTTCACGTCACGTGCGCCATCCATTGCAGATCATTGGCTCCATCCACATCTAGTGAAAACTAGTGTAATTGAATGGGTCATGTAACGCAAACACTCATTGGTTAGCTAAAGGAAATCAACAGAAGCAAGCAGGTGTTCTTCAATCTAAACGCAAATTGTCTATGCCATGCTACAATGTCGGATTCAGAAAAGATGTTGAAATGTCTGAAAGGTCGGACACAGGCGAGAGCGTATCGGGAGATGGAGACGGAGAGCAACAAGACCTTCCTCATCCTTGGCCCTATCTCAAAGAAATTTTCAAAATAGTCGTAAAATTTTGCTTTCAGTTCATATAGTGGCATCTGGCTGGGTTTTTTTTAAAGGTTACTTTATACTTTTATACTTTAAGTAGTTTTTAGAGCACATACTTTTTCACTTTTACTTGAGTAAAGAGGTCAAGTTGATACTTTAAGTGTTTTTAAACTGCAGTATCTATACTTCTACTTAAGTAACAAATGTGTGTATTTTTTTTTTACAAATTTACTTTGCAATACACCATATGCAAACCAATAAAATAAGTTTTAAAATAATTCAAACAATTTACAATGTAATCTATGAATAAGGCGGATACCTTGCTGATGTTTGTTTTTGAAAATCTTAGTCTGACTATGCATCCACAACCGGAAATACATTTTTCAGGGTTCACACAAATGTTTACCAGATATGCTGATAATTGCTGAGCATTAGTATAAATAGTACATTCTAAGAGCTTGATACTGGATGATTCTTTGGAATTATAGACTATTAAAAAAACTAATATCCAGATTTATTGAAGCACTATCAGATAAAAAAAAACACCACTGTTAATTAAACTCTCTGCTGCTTTTTTAGATATATAATGGGCCACTTGAATGCTTCTCTTTTTTGTCTGCCATTTTATTCTGGACAGCCATTGCACACTGATTTGCAATAAAGAACATTAAGAACCAATAAAACAACTTTTTATAAAAGTTTGGCTGTTAACGATTGACAAAGTCTTATACGATACGTTAAGAGACAAGTGATCAATAACTCATACTACTTCATATGAATTATTGAAAGTAATTTTAACTCATTAATAAACTTCTTTTGGAATGCCTTGGGCATTACAGTGAGAATTAAGGAAACAGCCCTAGGCTGGTTTAAATCTTATTTATCTGGCAGATTTCAACTTGTTCATGTTAATCATAAGTGTTCCTCGTGCTCCAGGGACATCTGTGGAGTACCACAGGGATCAATGCTAGGGCAGAATATCTGTACTATATACTGTATATGCTCCCAATTACAGCATGAGATTAATTTCCACCGTTGTGCTAATGAAACATCTAAATGCAGAAAAAACATAAGTTGTTGTCTTTGGAACAGTGTTGCTGAAAAACAAGCTGATTAGTCTTTATTATCAGGAAGTCTACAAACTATAGTTAAAAGCCTTCAGCTGATCCAAAATGCTGCAGCCAGAGTTCTGATGAAAATTATGAAGAGAGAGATCAAATTTCTTCTATCTTAGATTCTCTTTGTTGGCTTCCTGTTAAATCCAGAATATAATTTAAATTCCTCCTTCTTACATGTAAAGCCTTAAAAGGCCAAGCTCCGTCTTATATCAGAGACATGATTGTTCCTTATGTCCCTAACAGAGCAGTCTTGGAATTTCTGAAAGTGGAATGGGAGACAGATCTATTAGTTATCAGGCTCCTCTCCTGTGGAACGAACTATCGCTGCTATAGGCTTAGACTGCTGGAGGAGATAGGGACCCCCTTTTTATCATTCTGCTTTAATTTACCTCTACTCTCCCTCACTCTACCTCATTGTGCTCTCTCTGCTTTTTATCTCACAGTAGCTTCATCTGGTCTGTTCCCATCAGGCTGTGAAACCATCTCTGAAGAGAGAAATATAATTTGTGCTGCTGTCATAAACACCTTTGTTTAAAGATGTTGGAGTCGTCAACACCTTTGTTTATAGTTGTTCCAGTTTGCCTCATTTTTCAATGTAGTCCTGTTTCTCTTACTGTTACTAACTGTATGTTCTCTTTCATCCTCTGACATTAGAATTGGCTCTGCGCTTGTCTACCTCGCTGTCTGTTTCATATATGGGTCCACCCGTGGAGCTAGTTAATGTATGTATTGTACTGTATGTCTGCTTCTGTCTCCTTGAACCTTAGTCGGTTTCTGCAGATGACACTGAGCCTGGTTGTATTGGAGGCGTCTTCCTTAAAAGGTTTTCCCTGTTCACTATCACAACATACATGCTTAGTGTGAGGGATAGCTAAAGACTCAACAAATCGATGCAATCAGCTAGTTTTCCTTAGCTAGAAAACTTTGAACCAATCTGACTGTATGATCTGTTTGAATTGTCTCTGTAAAGTGACTTGAGATGACGTGTTGTGAAATCCCTCGATATATAAAGTGAATTGAAACTGAATTGAATTGAATTATTTCAATAGAGACAAAAAGTGTGCACAGATACAGTTTTAAAAATATAGAACAATAGGTGTTTTTAGGCATCTTAGCTGGACATTGTTGTAGTTTTCAATAAATATATTGGCACTTAAGATCTTATTGCATTTTTAAGAGGGTATTTGTTTACTTCCATGCTGCAGTATTGGGACCATGTGAAAACTGAGCTCCAATGTCAGTATTTGTATTCTGGAGTCTTTTATGAGGTTAAATTATTGTGATAACTTTAATCCAGTTAACGATTATCGAAAAATAACTTCAAAACATTCTTCTAGATGCAGAACCCTTTTAAATCTTAATAGTTGTGAACACTAAATTAATTTAATTCCATGGGTAATCATTCACAAGGAACACTGATGTTGTTGAAACAGATACAGCTTCCTGATGTGGTCTGGTTTTCATGAGGAAAATGCTTAGCTAATATTACTAAGTGGGCTCTATGATTTCACATTTATGTGGTGCATTTAAGCGTCAATTTCAGAAAGCTTGCCAAAATATCTGAAGGCCGGAAATAGCGATATGCGGAAAAAAGGGCAATAAATCATTGAGAAGGGTCTTCCAGTAAAGCAAAATGCTAAAAAAATATAACGCTGAGAAAAAAGGGGGTAATTTTTCATGTACGTTTAGATACAAAAAAACTTGTCATTCACATTTCTCCTCCTTTCAAAGGCATAACTTCCTTTTATAGCAAAATAGTTTTGAAGGTGATGAAAAAATTTTTTCATTATGATTGGGTTTGTCATTTCTTATATATACAGAGCCAAATATTTTTATACGTAGTTTTCCTTTGTAGCACAGACGTTTCATCAAAGCATTTGTCCCCAACCCTCTTTCCTGCCTACCCTACTTGTCACTTTGAAATAGCTGTGGCAATCTTCCTGCCCACAGAAATTCACACACATACATAAAAAATCTCCAAAACTTCATAACCTGCTTCTCTTCAGGTCACTAAAACTCAGGAGAGAAAAAAGCCATATGAACCTTAAGATTTCTCCAAAGAGAAAATACGATGTCTGATGTCATGATTATGACAGCTTGTCTGTGGCTTTTTGTTTTTCTTAAAACAGGGTGCTGAAGGATGGCTCTGAAAGACATGCACTGGAAAGGTGCAGCTGTGTAATACCTGAAATTTTTACAAAATGCTGAAATATATTGTTTTTAGGAACCGTTTTTATACAGTTTCCTTTTTTGTAAAAGGTACACAATGATTTTTTTTCTACTAAAGAAAGGAAAGAAAAAAACTAAATGAGAAAATATAAAGTGTACTCTGGGCATATTTATGCACCTTCATAAACTCTGGTTCCTTTTTTCACAATTTAAAGATTCAGAAAACTCCAATCTCACCAGTCCTCTCATTAGTAATCCACCAGTCCATACATTCACCTCTAACATGCATCCACAAACCAAAAATTCTTAACGCAATAACAGACTACAAGTATAATAACATTCATCCATTTGTGCCTATATGGTACTGGTGCCTATCTCCAGCTGTCAGTGGGCGAGAAGCAGGGTACATCCTGGACAGGTCGCCAGTCTATCGCAGGGCAACACAGAGACAAACAGGACAAACAACCATTCACACACACACTAACCTAACAGTCATGTTTTTGGACTGTGGGAGGCAGCCGGAGTACCCAGAGAGAATGCTGGGAATCAAACCCGGAACCTCCTTGCTGCAAGGCAGCAAAAAATAAATAAAAAATGTTATGCATTATCTGTATTTAAAACCTTAACAATCTAGGGGATTGAAAGATTAAATCTTATTCAGGACACTTTTCTCCATAGACTCAGTTGTACTGTGACTCAGAGCATAGTTTTTTATTTTGTTGAGCTGATATATTTTCAATGAATGGAAGCTTCTCTTTTCTTTTGAAAAGTTTGATGTTGCCTGGAATAATGAGTCTTTTATTTACATTTACTCCTCTTCAGTAGCTTTAAAATCTTTCCATTTGTTTTACCTTTAGATATCCTTTAGACCTCATACAGTAGACGCACCACATTTTAGACACTGCTCACTTTTACTTGTTAACTAAGAGCAATTTTAAACCTCTTTTTAATAAGTTAGATATTACCTGTTTAATTTAAAATGTTTTGATGTGTTTCCAGACGCAAACATTTATTATTATGTCTGTCTGCTTTTGTCATGTGCGGATGTTCATTGTAGAGCCAGCTGACTGATATGCAACAATTTATTTTCAAAGCTATTCATGTCACATGTGACCCATGACTTTTGTTAGTCATGTTTATTTTTGCTTGCATCAAGGTTGAACCAAAGGACAGAATTTAATTCACCCTAACATAAAAAAAAAGTTAAGCAGGGTTTTGATACCATTGTGATGCATCCAGCCTGAAAAGTCAACAGAGAGAAGTAAACATGTCTAGTTTTTACTTCCACTTAGGTCATTTTCTTTTTATTTATTTACTTATTTTTGGTCATACCATTTTTGATTGATCTCCCTTGTAACTTTGAAATTAAAAGGAAATAATTTTAATGGGATTACAGCTGATGTTCCGACGATGCCAACGATATCTGACTGTGCAGTAACGGCCGATACCGATACCATACCGATACCAATTGTTTGAAATTGATGTGTGTGTGTTTGTGTATATAAATGAAGAATTTCATACTACTTGGATGTAAAATATTTGCCATCGTGGCTTTATCAAGCGGCGGCCTACCTTTGTGAAGCAGGAAAAAGACAAAAAGTACAAAGTAAATCCAGTAAAACTTTTTATGGCCTACCTGGAATGGGTGACAATAGTTGAATAAACTTTTGGCTCTAAAATGGTACCGATGCCCTATTTGTTGGTACTCGCCAAAGCCGTTACAACCATTTTAGAGCGGGATCGGGGGCCCTGTCTGATACTGGTCTGATACTGGTATCGGTATCATTGCAACACTAATTACAGCAGGTGTATCTTTTTTATAATGACAGAATATCTTTTTGCATGTTTCTATATTTTGAGTTCTTTAATTTTATCTTAAAAGATCACCCATTTAATAGGTCATGTCTCTAGAGGTCACTTCAATGCATAAACATCAATACCAGTCAGAGGAGCAAGTTAGGACATTTTATCCTTCACAAGAAAAAAAAACCTCTTGGGAAGTCCCCATGTGTCCGTGCTAGTGCAGCATTTGTTTATAATGGTTGTTGGGTATCTCACAACAATAAAAAAAAAAGTTATAACTACAGGATAAGTGAAGGATGAGCTGCTAGAATTTTTTAACAGGGCTACATGAACACAATGTTATGATTTGCATCAATAGAGAAATCAAACTTCTCTGTTCTTGCTGAGTTTGTTCAAGACAAAAATCAATTCCCTGAATTTCATATATATAACCATTTCTGCCCTTTGTACAGATCTTTCCATCTTTATAAAAACTTGGAAAAGTGCTGTAATTTGATAAAAAAAAAAAAGTAAAACATAGAAGGATTGAAAATATAAAGGAGACTAAAAGTATAATTTAAAATGTGTGGTAAACAAAGAATTTAACAGAAAGTATCTCTTTATGCTTCCATGTACAACTGTGGCATACTTATATACATAAATATATTTTCTTCCAACTTCCTACAGTGACAAAATGAAACATGGGACCCTAATTTTTAACATAGATTTATATAGAATAATTGTATATTATGATCTATAAACAACTGTTATTTGTACATATTGTGTTTTTTAGCTTATGCAAGTGGCATTATGTGGGAGAAATAAAAATAAACTCTAAAATTAATTGTTTGTTGTTCTGGCTTGTACAGTCATTGTGGATACTGCTAGCGTGATAGTCTCTCCTCAAGAAGGGTAATCCCTAAAAAGTTACCGATTAAGAATTAGGCTGTCCACAAAGTGCTGTATCCAAGCTTATTAATAGAAAGTTGAGTGGAAGGACAAACTTTCATGAAAAAGGTTCAGAAGTGCCAAGGAAATTAGACTTGAGAAGAATCTAGAGAAAGGTCCCTTTAAGAGTTTGGGTAGATTTATAAAATGTGAACTGCAGTTGAAACGTGAGCTTAATGAGCCACCACACATACACATTTATATTTCTTTTCATGTTGAGACTTTACATTGACTTACCTTTATGTCTAACTCTGACATTTGCCCTAACCTTATTACCAGTACTGTATATTCCTAACCCCAACCTTAACTTTAAGTTAATTCACATCACATAACATTTCTGTCCTAGGCTGCACTCTGGATTCAGTGGAGGAAGTGGCTAAAAGGAGGGTGCTGTCCAAGCTCACATCCTGGATGTTGTCATGGAGAACACCTTCCTCCCTCTACACCAGACTGTGGAAGAGCTAAGCAGCTCCTTCAAAGAAAGACTTTTACACCCTGTTTGTATAAAGGAGCACTACTACAGGTCATTAATCCCTGGTGCCACCAGACTCTACAATGATACACCCTGTGTAAACACTCTGTGCAATAACCCTGTATAATAATCCTGCTATATATATATATATATTTTTTTTTTTAAAGGTATCATATGAGGGTGCACTGTATATACTGTATATATCCCATAATAACAAGTACATTTCTCCACTGTGAGATCAATAAAGTCAATCAATCTTTAAATAGCCTCCCTAACATTAAAAATGGGGTTCCACACAGTTGGAACAGCAAATGGTCCTCAGGAGGTTAAAGGAATAGTACACCCAAAACATGATTAGCCTTCATTTTCTACTCACCCCCATGCTGAACAACACTCTGGAGTACTTTTTTGATATCTCAAATGCATCTGGAGATCTGGGAGGCTTCTTGCTGTCTGCTGACATTCAAATAATGGAGGTCTATGGTGCCCGAGACAGAAAGGTCCATAAAAGTCCACAAAAAATGTGTCAATATTCCTCCATACTGCTCGTCCAATGTATTCCAAGTGTCCTGAGTGGGTAGCATTCAGAATTTACTCGAAATGAAGTCATTTAGAATGTTTTTAGAGCATAAACAGTAGTGTATAGGATTTCCTGAAAGCACGCACCTGCGCGTTCATGACGTTATGGAAGCCGGCAGACCAAACCAGATGAAAGTGCGCATTCAGCGTCTGCTTTGCCAATAATGCAAGCGTAGAAGAAGAAATGTGCTGTTTACCTGTGCAAAGAAAGAAACAACGAAAGAAAAATGTCTGAGGACTTCAGTGTTGAGGAAGAGCATGAGTTCTTTGCTGAGCTGAATGCGCACTTTCGTCTGGGTTGGTCTGCAGCGGTTTCCGTAGCGTCGTGAACGTGCTTTCAGGAAATCCTATACACTACTGTTTATGCTCTAAAAACATTCTAAATGACTTTGTTTCGAGTAAATTCTGGATGCTACCCACTCAGGACACTTGGATTACATTGGACGAGCAGTATGGAGGAATATTGAAACGTTTTTTGTGGACTTTTATGGACCTTTCTGCCTCGGGCGCCATAGACCTCCATTATTTGAATGTCAGCAGACAGCAAGAAGCCTCCCAGATCTCCAGATGCATTTGAGATATCAAAAAAGTACTCCAGAGTGTTGTTCAGCATGGGGGGTGAGTAGAAAATGAAGGCTAATCATGTTTTGGGTGTACTATTCCTTTAAGCTGCCGTCACACCTTGATGATTTAGCCAACGAATGCCTGACATACAAAAACTTTGGCATACAACGCTGGCATACAATGTATAAGTTATGGGTCAGTTTTGTATTAGTTATGAGCATGCTTTAGATTGTTTTATTCATTATTTTTTGCATTAAATAGAAAATTAAGTAGAATCTGGAGTAGTATAATACAATATTTCAATCCCTCCATTGTCTACACCCACTTAATGTTGCAAAGTTGTAGAAGTTGTTTCCTTTAGATTATATTTTGGAAATCTATATAATATTTTGATTTTAGTGTTGAACTTAATTACTGAAATAAGGTTAACTTTTAATGCAAAAAAAAGTTATTGGTATTTTCATGTACATCATATGAAATATTAGAACTCTTTTAACAAGAGAGCCGCTGAAAACATGTTTTTTTTCTAACTGCTTGACTCAGAACTTCATCATCTCTTTCCTCATTCCTGAACAAATGTCTTATCTTTAGAAATGACCATCACTGTTTACTAACACAGGGAAGTATTCTTTCCTAGTGTTCTGTGACCAAAAACAATTAAAGAGAAGAAACAAGGTTAAATGCTACCCCTCTTCTGTCAGTAAAAGGCACTCCACCCTTTGCGAGAGAAGGAGCCACATTCCACAGGAAGTTTACCCCTTGCCTCTTCCCCTCATCCTTTAGTCTTCCTGCGTCCACTGATCTTCACTGATTGCTGCTGGCTGGGTGGGTCGATAAGAGATGCTAATGAGAAGAGGAGATGATCGGCCTTTTTTGTAATGCCAGGTCATTTTTATTTAGAATTATAAATCTCAAATACTAAAAAGTCCATTGTAAATGCATTTATATTCCCTTATTATTTGCATTATTAAAACCATGAACTTAAATTCCTATCTTTGAAATTTTATGCAGTTGAACAACAAATAAAATGTGCATAATGCAGACATTTTTCTGTTATGGGCTGTGAAAAGTACCACGTCAGGGCAACAACTCATTAACAGGAAATATTAGGCATGCAGTTCAGTCTGTGTCAGTTATTGTTATTCAAACTTCTGCTTGATAAACTGTTTAATGCAGAAGGTGTAAATATATGCACTGTCATTGCACTCAAAATGAGCAATGCCAACAATCAGGAAGAAACCCAAACGGTTTCCAAGTGTACAATTTTATCATCAAAATACAACATTTTCATTATATTTTTTATATATTAAGTAAAAGTCAGAAATAATGATAAAATAAGTACATATGACAGTAAGTTTGTTTGTCTGCTTTGGGCTGCTCCCATATTCAGGGGTTTCCACAGCTTGTCATTTTGCGGTGCTGACAGAGTCTTCAAAGTGTCTGATGCCCATCCTGATGAAACAATTCAAAACTGGGTCCCCCACATTACAGTTCATTATGGGTGCTTAATAACAAACAATTTGACTTAAAAATAATCTGAAAAGGAACAAATAAATATAAAACTGAAACTGTTAACTAAATCAGCATGAAATTCCAAAAAATGCAGCTTAAGGGGAAAATGTATGTTTAGAATTAGGGCAAAGTAATTCTAATAATTCAAAATCATGCAGGGAATAGTGTAAAAACAATGCAAATCAGGAAAGAAAATATGACAGTAGCTTGATAAAATGTTTTTATTTTTTCCAAAAATGCTTAAAAATCATTTAAAGAATCATAAACCAAGAGCATTTTGGACAAATATTTTGTCCAACAGAGCTCACAATGACTGTAGAGTAATGTACTAGCACGACGGCACAAAAAAGAAGAAAGATGCAGTGTCAGATGCAGAATTAGCAGATTTTCCTAACAAAAAAAATGTTGCTGCAGGACTATATACTAGCACTGTTCAGCAAGCCGCCATCCGGACGAAAATACCTATTCATTTAAGTCATAATTGAGTTATGTCATATGCAAAATGTCGTAGTCAAGTTTTAGTCTTTAAAAACATTCAAATTTTTAAGTCTTCAGATTTTTCTATCTTTTATCCTCTATCTATAAAGTAAATACTCCTAGTGATATTAACGTGTGAATACAAAACAAATATATATACATTACCAGCGGCTAATTTGAAGCATGTAGCAGGTCAGGATCTGTAGATCTGTAGATCCTGACCTGCTACATGGGAAGGACAATTATAGGGTCATCTCCTAAAAAGAAATGTACATCACAGCATTAAGTAGGTTACAAACACAAGTGTAAACAAAGCATTACTGATTATACAGAATAGCTTCTCTGCTCATTTACCTCATTTAGGCAACTCAAGTATCATACATTTTTTTCCGCTTTCCAATGGAAATTACAACATCAGTGGATGTTCATGTGCAATTTTAATCCTGTTTTTTTGTTATTTATTATAATTACGATACTACATGGAGGCAGCATAAATAACCAGAAATATTTGTCTACAAGCTGAGCTTGAAGTTGGATGAGGACATGGTCAGCTCTAGATACTGTTACAGTTTGATCCAAAACTCCCATGTGTCTGCTTGAAAGCTAATGATATAAAAGGGGTTTTATTCTATAGCATCATTGTTAATCTAAGAGTAGATCATTCATTAAAAAACAGAAGAGAATCACAAAACACAAAAGAATTGTCTAATTTTAAACAGGTTTTCAAAAGATAAAGCTCTCAAGCAACTTATACAGGTGCTGGTCATAAAATTAGAATATCATGAAAAAGTAGATTGATTTCAGTAATTCCATTTAAAAAGTGAAACTTGTATATTATATTCATACATTACATACAAACTCATATATTTCAGATGTTTATTTTGTTTAATTTTGATGATTACAAATGACAACAAATGAAAATCTCAAATTCATCATATCAGAAAATTAGAATATTACTGAAGACCAATAAAAACAAAGGATTTATAGAAATGTTGGCCAACTGAAAAGTATGAACATGAAAAGTATGAGCATGTACAGCACTCAGTATTTAGTTGGGCCTCCTTTGGCCTGTATTACTGCAGCAATGCGGCGTGGCATGGAGTCGATCAGTCTGTGGCACTGCTCAGGTGTTATGATAGCCCAGGTTGCTCTAATAGTGGCTTTTAGCTCTTCTGAATTGTTGGGTCTGGTGTATTGCATCTTCTTCTTCACAATACCCCATAGATTTTCTATGGGGTTAAGGTCAGGAGAGTTTGCTGGCCAATTAAGAACAGGGATACCATGGTCCTTCAACCAGGTACTGGTAGCTTTGGCACTGTGTGCAGGTGCCAAGTCCTGTTGGAAAATGAAATCTGCATCTCCAAAAAGTTGGTCAGCTGCAGGAAGCATGAAGTGCTCTAAAACTTCCTGGTATGTGGCTGCGTTGACCCTGGACCTCAGAAAACACAATGGACCAACACCAGCAGATGACATGGCACCCCAAACCATCACTGACTGTGGAAAATTTACACTGGACTTCAAGCAACGTGGATGAAGTGCCTCTCTTCTTTTCCTCCAGACTCTGGGACCTTGATTTCCAAAGGAAATGCAAAATTTACTTTCATCAGAGAACATGACTTTGGACCACTCACCAGCAGTCCAGTCCTGTTTCTCTTTAGCCCAGGCAAGACGCTTCTGACGCTGTCTGTGGTTCAAGAGTGGCTTGACACAAGGAATGCGACAGCAGAAACCCATGTCTTTCATACGTCTGTGTGTGGTGGTTCTTGAAGCACTCACTCCAGCTGCAGTCCACTCTTTGTGAATCTCCCCCACATTTTTGAATGGGTTTTGTTTCACAATCCTCTCCAGGGTGCGGTTATCTCTCTTGCTTGTACACTTTTTTCGACCACATCTTTTCCTTCCCTTCGCCTCTCTATTAATGTGCTTGGACACTGAGCTCTGTGAACAGCCAGCCTCTTTAGTGATGACCTTTTGTGTCTTGCCCTCCTTGTGCAAGGTGTCGATGGTCGTCTTTTGGACAACTGTCAAGTCAGCAGTCTTCCCCATGATTGTGTAGCCTATAGAACTAGACTGAAAGACCATTTAAAGGCTTTTGCAGGTGGTTTGAGTTAATTAGCTGATTAGAGTGTGGCACCAGGGGCCATCAATTTTGAACCTTTTCACAATATTCTAATTTTCTGATATGATG